CATCCCAGCTAACGATCCTGAAACAGCTAAATCCTGGTACCCGAAGAGAGAGAGAGAGCACTCCCTGAGTCTGAGAGTGAGAGTCCCTGGAAGAGTAGAGGCCCTTCTTTCCAGTTAACTCTCATTTTTATACTGGACATGGTGTTGCATGATATGGAATACTTCATTGGCCAATTTAGCTCTGAATTCTAAATCTAAGTTCAAATTGTAAGGGGAGTTGTGGACCCTTATGCTCTCCCTTCAGCCTGCCATCCATCCTCACACTGGCAAAACACAAGAAGTTGAAAAGTCCTTGAGGCCTCAGTGCCAACTATAAACATCAGTGCGTTATCAACATTCTTCTCATAATGAATGAAAAACCAAAAACACAGAGCCCTTCTACTTGCTAAAAAAAAGAACTCTATCACAACTGAAACCAGGACACTCTGCTCTCCTTTTGACCCTGCAATCTTCCATATAAGAGAAAAAAGGGGTAAAAGGCAACAAAAAGGAAACACAAATGCCCTGAAAAAAAAATGGAAGAGCAGAGAAAAGGATCTGGAACCTAAAGGAAGAATAGTATTAATAGTTTCAAATCTTAAACGAGACAGAAGGTCTCAGATTCAAAGATGGCAGCATTTCCCAAACACCAAGAAAACAGGAAAGAATTTATCAGGAAAAAAGCAGCAATTGTTTCCATTTTCTCCTTCCAACTTAAAAGCCTTCCTCCACCTCAAACTTTTTTGAAACATAAGTCACTGATTTTAGACCTAGAAATAACCACTTTAAAATTGATGTCTTCACTGCACATTAATTCTTTGTCTGCCTGCATAACAGAAGGTCAGAAGCTGTTAGACTGTACCTCCACGGCTTCACAGGTAAGGTGAGAATACTAGCAACACTGAAGAGACAAGTGGGAATGCAGAGAGAAAAATTTTATTATACGTAAACGTACTGTGCACAAACATACATATTTCATATTTTTCTACGTAGAATCTATGATGATGGTTAAAATCAAGAAGGCTCTGAACGGTAAGGGTTTTGGCTAAACCCTTCTTCTGACAGTGCTTGAACTCCATTAAGACGTCTGACTGTATATATTATACTGCTGAATTTAGACATGAACTGTTCTGAAAGGATATTTTGATGTTCCTTTGATGTAAAAAACCTGCTATCCAGAAAATAAGTATCTGCAGCAAGAAAAAGAATGTGGAACATTCATATCCGTTTTGACCCATAACTAGAGGCTGAGGTGTCTGGAAATTATTGCTTTATCTGATGACTTATACAAAGCATTTTATTATAAAACTAAGCAATCTCAATGTAAAACTGCTGGTTACAGAAGTAATACATGCTTCTATAAAGTGGACAATGATTATCTTGTTTATCATTAAGTCCAGCACTCATTTCTAGAATTCTTACCTGACCTAATGTAACACTGACTGGGAAATAAAAGAGGAAGAAGGTTGGTTTTCAAATAGTGAAAGCAGGAAAAGTTTGTTATCATTTGCACACAAAAACTTTTCAGGAGTCAGAAGACAGAACACTTTTAGAGGTGCTTGAGTAGGAAAATACTTTCTGCAGGAAATACAGAATTCATCCAACAACCAACTCCTGGGCTGAATGTTATTTATTTATACCATCATGGAGGGTGCTAACTAATCAGTCCTAGCTGTTCGTAGAAAGGCTGTGTCGTGGGTTAGGCTGCTCCGGCAGCTAAACCCTACACAGTCCCTCTCTCATCCTCCTCCACCCCCAGGGATGAGGGAGAAAATCAAAGAATAAAAAGAAAAGAGACCCGTGGGTTGAGATAAGAACAATTTACTACTACCGCTACCAATATATATATATGTACGGATATGCACAAGGATAAACATATACAAACAGGTGATGTACGGTGTAATTGCTCACCACCCCTTGACCGAGGCCCATCTCTTCCCAAAGCTGCAATCCCGAAATGGATAAAACTCGATACCGCGATCCCGGATGAATGGGAGGCCCCGAGACAGAGCGAGAGAGAGAGAAAACACTCTGAGAGCCCGAAAGTGAGAGTCCCGGCAGGGCAAAAAGCCCTTCTTTCCGGCTGACCCTCACTCTTATACTGGGCATGACGCTGCATGATATGGAATACTAATTGGCCAGTTTGGCCCTCAATCTTAAGTTCAAGTACAAATCGTAAGGAGAGTCGTGGACCCCTTGTCCCAGCTATGCTCCCCCCTATCCTGTTGTGCTCCTGCACTCTGGCAAGAACCCGGCAAGCTGAAAAGTCCTGGAGACCTCGGTGCCAACTATAAACATCAGCTTGCTATCACCGTCCTTCTCAGAGCGAGCCTCTGAGTGAAACCAAAACACGGAGCTCTTCTAGCTGCTAAAAAGAAGAGCTGACTGTCCCAGCTAAAACCAGGACAGGCTGTATAGAAGGACATACTGTGACTTTAAGATGAGGTAAAATGGCACAAATGAAAACAAAACTCACTGTTCCTTTCTTGCATTTCAGCCATCTTTCTCCCATATTTGGCTTGTGGAGACCATGCTTCAGTCTATTTTAGCAAATTACAATTTTCTTAAATCAGCAGTAACGCTGAAGTAGTAATGTATTTAGAAATACTGGGTAGTTTGCTACAGAATAATTGTGTTTCTTAAATTAAAGCTCTGTGTGAAAACCAGGACTTTTAAATTTGAGGGGTTCTTTTATGATAATTACACTATATTTTGCTGTATTTGCTATGAATCTTATTCTTATGTTGTTTGGTTATTTCAACATTTAGTATAGCTTAATTCTAAGTCATCTATTTGACTGAACAGGACAACTTGATAATTCAGAATGGACATTAGTCCATAAAAATGTATTCCACAGTGGCTGCATATTCCAAAATAAAACCTTGAATCAGAAGATTTACAAACCTTCTCAACATTGATCTACATGTCCTTAGGCAAATGTCTACTGGCTGGGACATAATAATATATAAAATGGGAAAAGTTAGTAACTATATTAGGTACCTAAAAGAAATTTAAAAATAGATATCAAAAGCCAAAATTGTAATTTAGAATACACTTATAAAATATGGTATTGTAGTGTTGCTTTTCTCTCCTGCTGAGTGTGTTTTACTCATTGCAGCAACTAGGCACAGAGCAAACTAAAAAGCAAAATATTCTGTAAAACTGTCATAACTGGCAGACACCCTTCTCCCCTCCAATATAACACTGAAACAACTACCTTTCTGAAAGGTGATCAATCTACTCAAATGCACACTTATTCAGGAATTCAAAGGAACGCTTCTCTTAAGGCTGTTGCATTACCAAAACTCCTTGACTAGCAACACTGACAGCTCTTAAAGACAAGATGAGCAACACTCATATTCCACCTGAGCATCAGGTGCTCAGTAACAGAACAACACAAGGCAGGATTTTAGAGTCCCCATTGCTGCAGAAATAACAAGGAGTAAGCTCAGAAACTTACTGCAGCACTCCACAGGAAACATCACACCTTTCAGATCTAGTTTTCCTTTCCAAGAAGCAATGTAAGGGGTTATTGGGGATGAAATCTCCTCAATTCTTGGAATGAGGCCATTCAGTTCTCTGTTCCTCTAGCTAATGAGATGTCCTGCAAGCTGCAAAAAGCTTGGAACTAGTCTGTTACCTAATAAAGTCATATATATTTCTTCAAACGTCTGCTTTCCTCACACGAAGAACAGGCTTGCTATGCGACCCATAGAGCAAACTGCAGACTTGCAGCTGACAGTGGAATTAAGATTAAGTCATGAATAAATAAGGAAACCAAAACTAGGAGACCATACAGGAGGAATTCAAAAGAACATGAAGAATTGTACATGTGTAATAATAGTATACAGCCATATCAAACGCCACAGCTGATGTCCTTTACTTTGTTCAAAGAGCAATATAGTAATTATGGTTTATCTCCATCTTTTCATAAAGAGTCCTGAGCTGGAAAACTAATGAGTGCTCTTAGTATAAGCTAAAGCAGCCCTAGTAACCCCTTTAGAGCACCAATAATCAGTTTCTAAGGTTCCTTGTACCTTGATCTCTATGGCCTGAGTGCTGCTGAAGGGTACACAGAGTTTTCTGTGGCAGTGCGGTTCCCAAGTCTACCATAAGTCATCTTTTGGCTGCTTCAGAGGTGGGAAGGGGACAGGCTTGTGGGGCTTGAATTATGAACTTCTAGTTATATTCACAATGTCTTATAAAAAGAAGTAGGTTAACAGAGCCGACTAGAAACCTCCATCCCTTAGTAATAGCTACTGAAACCCTTGAGCCTCATACGTGTTACTTCGCTGAGCCAAAATTCATCGCTGAGAAGCCAAATAAGCATGCCTCTGTTATTGCATGGCAGTAACTGAGAGGAACAAAAGTATTCACTTTGACTTCATCTATGCATTAGCACAAGCCTTTAATTTTCTATGTCTCTTTACAAAAAAAAAAAAAAAAAAATGAAGAAAGAGAAAGGGAAATGTAAAAGTACATCAGCAGTATTTGCCAGCGAAACTTGCAAACCACCTACCATGCAGTTAGGACTTGATCCAAAGCCCACCAATGTCAATGGGCTGAGGAACAGATCCTTACTCAGCTTCTGGAGCTAATTCATCTTTGAACTAACAATTGTATATTTAGGCTGCAGTTTCCATATATATCTTATTAATCTCGAAGCTCTGTCCAGTTAAGTTTTGAAAACCTCCAAAGATGGAGATTCCACAGCCTCTCTGGGTCTCTGTGTCACTGTTTGACCATCTTCACGATGAAAAAAAAAAATATTCTAGTATCTTAGAAATACAGAACTTCACCTTTTTTTAATTTATTTTGCAAAATCACATTAAAAGCCATCATATTTCATAATGCTTATAACAAAAAGGAACTGAAGATAAAGAAAAAGCCATATATTGAAAGGAATCGAGAACAGAAGACATGAAGGCAACTTAGATTTGACTAGATTCAGACATAGAGCTGAAACCTGTTGACTTTTACACAAATGTACTTAGGAAACATCTTACTGAGAAACCGCTCACCTGATCTCGGGAATATGGAGTATCCACTATGTGTTTGTCCGAACATGCTGCTAGAAGAATCTTCATTGCATTTAACTGGAGCAATATCTCACAAGACATGGTATCAAAGAAAGTAATATTGGCAAGAGCTGCTGAAGCCAACAGGAAAACTTCACCAGATGAGGCTTCTTGGCACAGCTCTAGGAATGCAGAAAATAAGTTGAATAAAAGTCATTCTTTCATTCCAAAAAAAACATGGTTAGGTGTTTCAAAGCAATTTTTATGAATCTGCAACTTGCATTAGTAATCTTAGTATCTAAGATGAAGTTCATAGTCATCAAGATAATAAACAAAACAAAGAAAATCCTCTTAATTTGATCAATTATATAGTATGCCATATTGTTAAGGTGCTTTATAAGTGATATTAACATCAGGCACCTTCATTTGAATCACAAAAGCAGGGAAAGATGGTAAACATGAACCTAGACACCAAGTGTTTCTAGCGTTCATCTAATTAATGAGATCATCTACCTAGTATACCATTCTACAAATGGTACAAATGGTACAAATGGTACAAATATTCCACTGGAAGTTTTTCAACATAAAGATTGATATAACTAAATAAAATGAAACAGAAGAGGCAGAAGGCTAACAGTAACAGATCCATAAAAGAATAATTCTACTATATATCTTATTCTTTAAAACAAGATACACATACATGTTGCCTATCTCTAAACCTATTTCTCTATAGTCAAAGATCATCCTGCATATTTTCCAGCTTCAATAAGAGGTGCTGAAGCTACAGCTTCCTTTTAATTCTTTGCATACATGTATTTTAACTAAGATCTGAATCACCTGCCAATTGGATTTCGGCATGGTTTAAAAATTAAACATATTACAGTAATTCAATTACTGAGTTATAAATATTATAAGGAGACTGGTGTGTGATTACTGAAAGGGCTCTTCCAAAGTTATGTGTGTCCTATTTTTAACACTCACATTTCTTGGGCAAAGTATGTACTACTAAAATTCCCATGGAACTTAAACATTGACAATCAGGAAAACGCTTCACCTGCTAATAGCTTCTGGATAGGCTATTCAGATTGTCTCTTGACTGTGGTACACTGTAATAACCTGGAAAATCATCTTAAATAAGTCAGGTCAGATGCCTCTAGCAGTCTAGCTACAGCAGAACCAAGCTAAGCACAGGTTAATTCCACCTACTGGATTCAGGGCAGGTTCAGTGCAGAACCTTCAATATTTGTTGCTGGACAATCTGGTCATTAGGAATAAACTGTCTCCTTGATTTCTGCAGCACTAGTTCTTTTGGGACATACCAAAGAAGTCCTAAATACATCTCAGATAATTCCTAGCCACTGCAGAATCCTCAAGTACTGGCACTACTATGCTCTTTTCCTGTTCTATTTTTAACAAAAAAAAAAAAAAAAAAAAAATGCGCATGAAAACGGAAGTACTGGAGTTTAACTGTAGCCATTGGGCTCAGTAGAGAAATACCCAGATGTATTGATCTATTATTATACATGAGAAATTAAACTAGATTATCCAAACTACTTTCTGACATAAAGCTCTGGGAAACTGAATTTCCAGATCAGAGAGAAGAAAGAGCTTGACTGAAAGCTTCTGGTATTTGACAGGGAGTGAGCACAGTACCAGAAAGAAGAGATTCCTTTCTTTAAAAAGTAATGAGAAATATAATCTTATTTTTCTGAAGTGTCCTCACTGATCCAGGTCAAGTAAAAGCTTGCTGTTACCTTTGCCTCATCTTACCATAGATCTGAGGCCTAGACAAGAAAGACAGATCTTTTATTTTCTTGTAACAACGCCCATAGATTATACTATACAGTACTTTTCCTCTGAAGTACGATACAAACGTAGACACAGTGGTGAACTTGAGTTCTAGCAAGTTTAGAAAATACAACAGGCATAAAGGTTAGCAACTATTAGAAACGGTTCTTTTACAGACAAATATGGCACAGGAGGACACTTTGCTGTCTTTTCTGTGGCTCTAACAATAAAATTTCACCCAGACACTGTTTTGACATATATGGATAAATTCCGTTCAAATATAGACTGGAGTAAAAGATATTATGTAATTGCAGCACACCCTGATTCAGAAGTAAAAACGGCTGAGTTCTTTTATCTGTTATGGAAAGAATAGCAAACAGTATTTAGAGAATATTTGCAATGAAAGAGAGTCCTACCCCAACTTGTCATTTTAACTGGAAAGACTCCCATAAAGAACTTACTGACAAGTGCTGTTACAATTTCTTCCATATTTTCCAGAAAGCTGCTGAGATGCTGAGTGAACGTGAGATGTGGAGATGTGATCTGCGCAATTACTGCCGCTGCTTCTGCATGAGTAGCTTCGGAATGGGTGTTATCGGTAAGAATGTCAGCCAGGCACAGTATCCCATCAACCTACGGGAAAACAATAGGTGTAGGTTGGAAATACTCTAGGAAATATTTCTGCAACCAAAGGCAAGGTTACAGTTCTCTTTTCTTGGCTGTGGCTAAACTACTCATTTTATTTTCAAAAATGACTTAAACTCGGTGGCATTTATGACATAAGAAGTTTCAATTTAGCAAATACAAATGAGTTCAGCATCAAAGTTCGTTGGCCAGCAAAAAGTCTTGCATTTCCTTCTCCCTCAATGCTTCTGCTGAATTGATTTTGGTCAAAAAAACAAATCTTCTCTAACAGACGTCTCAAGTTAAACATTAATCCAAAAATAGGCATTGATAAGCAGATGCTAAGTGCTACTATGCCACAGTCTCATTTAAGCTCTTGTCTCAGTGTGTCCCACTGCGAGACTGAAGCTTGAGGGTGCAGTAAGTTCTTCAGAGATAATTTTTTTTTTGCCTCTTTTTCCTGAATTTGTCACAAAGCCAATGCAGGATCAAAAAATACTATTAAGGAGACACCCTGGCCAAACTGCACCTGATGAGCTTGTACAGCTCTCACATTAAAGCTAAGTCCGTATATCCCTTGCTTACTTAGAAGAAAAACAGAAGAATAAGTAAAATGTACACAAGTTTATGCCTTTAGAGCATCTGAAGTGTTCTAAGCTCATTCCTTAGATAGTTTAAGCAGATACCTCATATATGCACTGGATTATAGGAGACCCATTGACACAATGAAAGACTGCAACAGAGCATAGCTGTGGGACAGATTAAAGAGCAGAAACGTGTCATCTGTTAACGACCAAACCCAGCAAAGGGAGGCTCTCTATAGACAAAGACATAATCCGTGAACTTTCAAATTAACAGGACTATTTTTCTCCCCGTTTAACATATCCTTGAATAATTCATCACATTGTCAAGCAGGTAGGTAGATGTGCTTAGAGGTGACAGAGCATGAAGATTTATGTAATTTAATTAAGGACATGTTTATGTCAAATCCACATAAATTCACTAATTAAAATCTTTATATAAATGAAACTAATGCAACTATAGGAACAGTTTACAAATGATTAGAGATTTTACTAACTTGACTGAGTAACTGTTTTAAAAAATGACCTTATTTATTTATTTGAAGTTCTGAAAAAGTGTGGGGTCAATTGACTTGTATGTTATTTGGACACTATATAGACACAAAGAGGAGTATGAAGGCTTAGCACTGAAATATACTTTAACTTTAGTCAAACAAAAACAAACACACATTTGTGTTGCACACTCACCAAGACTCTATCTTAGGTCTCTTTTTCAGACTGCATGCCCTTTCTATTCAAAGCTTTCTCAGAGCATGCACATTAAGTCCTATCTGTTATTTCCACAAAGGGTATTTAGCAAATCTCTTATTCACATTTTTGTTATTTATTAATACAGGATGTTGAGTTATCTTAATTACTTATTCTGCAATGGGCATGAATTAAATTGTTTGATAAGCACTGGCAGTTACTGTATTTTACAAGAAAAGCTCTCAGATTGATGGGAGTGAAAATTACCCTCTGGAAGATCATTCATTGGGATGCACTTTTTAATAGGCAATAGACTATATCATTGAAACTCTAATAACATAGATAAATACAAAAGAAATTATATCTCTATTTTTCCTCAGATTACAAATGAGATTTAGTATAGAAACTCAAGTACTGGCAAGAAGAGGAAGAATAAATTTTCAACATTAAACTTTTTCTTGACAAGCTTTCAACATTAATCTACCTACAGCAAAATATTTCCTCCTAGTTATGGCAGAATTCTACAGCTTCAAACAGCAGATTCACATAATTCACTTGGCTTCAAGGTATATTAATAGATCTCAGTGTCAAGATTTAATATATGTCCTCACAAGATGATTTAGTAGCCAAAGTGTGCTAGACAATATCATATGCAAAAACCCCCAACTTTGTCACCTTGAAACCTCTCCAGATCACACCTTGTCTGGGCTCTGAAGGACACTAATAACAACAGTCAGTATAAAAAGTTAAATATATTCCAAGGCATTCAAAAAATACTTCACAAGAAACTTCTAAGATCTGGTAACAGGATACAGCACCCTTCAGCTCTAAATTTACTCCTTAAAATTCACTTGGCCAAATCTTATTCAATGACCTTGTCAAAATGACTTTACGGTAGTTTTATGCTATTTCAGAACAAGTAATGGTTTATGAAAGACCGGTACAAGCACATAGTTAGATTTTTTCCATCACCACTTATTGTTTACACTATAAAATACAAGCTTCTAACGATACAGGAGCTGTATTTAACTTCTAAAATTACGTATTTGATTTTTTAATTTACTAAGTAATTGTTTTTAGAAACTGGGAGTTGCTGAATTTTAAATAGAAGTGAATATATGTTTTTATTCAGCATAAAGATAAAATACATATTTTGGATCCATGAAAGCCAGCCCTAATTATTATTTCTCCTTTCTATTCAGAATCATGTAAAATACTAACAAATTCAGTCTAAAATTTGCTCTATACACTTTTGTCTCCCATCTTAAATATAGAAAAGAAAATAAAATAATTCTACTCCAGCAGGCAACACCATTTATATGTGTCTAGCAATAAATTTTAAAATGACAGGGGAACAATCTAATAAAAGCACTTTAACATCCAAAAAGAAATTGCTGCTCGAAGCATTTTTATAATTAGCTTTCACACTGAAAGGAACTTTGGATGGCTGCCCTGTTTTCTGTTTAATTTTGGTGAAGTAATCAGCTAAATGTCAAATCTGTTCATCACCTTGGCAATACAAAAGAACCAGTTAGCCAGATAATGCAAACAAATGAATTCCATGAATGCAACAAGATGTTGTGGAGATCCTGCATTTGAGGAATGGCATTCAGTAAATGCTCGATCACTAATATTTCAATATTGATAACTGGAAAAATGCCATGAACTCACATCCGTATGATCATAGCCCTGTTACAGAAACTTAATCCAAGTGACAAAATAAATATGCGACTGCTTTACTGCATAGATCAAGTCTTCTGGAAGGAAATAATTTCTTTTCTCAGCAACAGGAATCAATGAGTTCTGGGGTAGCCCTCTCTTTCTTCAGTATACCTGCTCTTCCTCCTAAAAAAATTTTAAAAAGCCTCTAGGCATCTGTTATTCATCCCAATACAGAACTTGGGATGAATTACGTTAGTGACTTCATGATTTGAAATATTACACACAACAAAAGTCTTAACTCTCTGCTTTCCACAAGGGGTATTCAAGGCAGGTTTTCCATGCTAGTCTGGGGACCAAGACATTATTTTTAATAATGTCTGTCTTCATTTGCATAAAATGCTGCCGAAGGCCTTTTCTAATACTATGACTTTCTCTAACATTTCTATTTGCCCACTCTTAACACTCAGACGATCTCTACACATTGGTAAATTTTCTTAAAGGGTTTTTTTTTGTGTTCTCTAAATTAATCTCTCAAGTCATCTTGCTGAGACTGGAAAGCCTTGCAGGCTGTCAGCTGATTTCCCTCTGTCAACTCCACGGATAACACAGTCTACAACTGGGTTCTTCTTGTAAGCAGCACCAGCAGGTTCCAAAGTAATTTTAAAGGAAAAATGGAAGAGAGATGTTGAGATCCAGATAAAAGCAAATGTGGAAACAAAATCACAAAGGGGATCACCTTAAACATTGTCTCAACCTTCCCAGGAGAGTAGAGGAGAATTTCAAAAGCAGAGGCTTCATCAAACAGTCAAGAACTGACAGATCAGAGTTGTGTTTGGTTTATACTTTCACACATGCTGTGTGTTAACACCTCCAACTTGAAGCTAGGACATTAACTATATAGGTGAAGACATGAACATTAGCAGACTAAATAGAAACTGCATACCTGGATAAAAACCGAAACACATTAAAATTTATGGGATGAGGAAGAGGGAGACAGAGTAGGAAGAAAGGAAAAATTATTGTATTCAGAAAACATTTGAATCCCCTGCCGAGCATTCTTTGAACACAATCTACTTCACTCCTCAGATCATTGCATGAACAATGAAGTCACTTCACTATTCTGAAACTCCACTGAAAATCTCATCCAGCAGAATCTATATACTGTTATTTTGATGCCTTTTCACTCATGAAATGAATTCCTGATCATCAAGGCTGAGGTATATCCTATGTCAACTTCTGTAACTTATTCTGCACCTATAGAAACACTACAAGTCTAGTTTAGTTTCTATGTTAAAAGGAAGGAAGGGGAAAGGAGAAAAGTATTCTCCCTTGCACACAATGATCTTTCATATTTGAACAGCTGCCCTGCCAAGTGCTCTGCAGATAAAAACTGCCTTAGCTCCACCAACTGAGAACTATGCTGATTTATACCAGTTGAAGATTTGGTCAGCTATTTTTAAAGTGAGATCATATATTAATAGAGTGATGACATTAAAATGTCCACAAATACTATTCCAAGTAATCAAAACTACTGCAGCAATTCTACAGCAGCAGCAATGACCAGTGAACAAAACAGTAATGATTTTTATAACTACTGCTGTACAGCAGTGGCCATGGAACCTAATTTATAAGCCATGTTATATGCACTACAGAATAGCATGAGGATGAATAAACATTGAATAGTTTCCTACTCAGTAGTTTTAAAACTGTTGTCAGTAATCTTAGCTTTGTATCTACATTGGCTGTGAGTGGGTGCTTTGGTTTATGGCAACTTCAACTACAGCTTCCCTTTTAAACTTCCGTCCTTCAGAACGTGGTCAAGCTAATAAAGAGGTATTTGTTCTTCTTTGTGCTTAGCCATCAAGGGGCAGTGTGAAGAAAATCTGATCTATATAAGGAATATTGTTATATGGTGTGAAAAAAAACAACAGCTCAACTTTCTTTCAAAAGAAAAAAAAAAAAGGGAGACAGTAGGCCGTATCAGCTTGAAGGATGCATTAAATGTGACAATGCCTAAGTAGCAACCTTGCAGCCATGCTGCAGGAAGAAACAAATTGCAGAGCAAGATGAAATAACAAG